TGTATGCTTTATTCACACCAACGCAATAAAAGAATTGAAAAGTACAGTGATTAAGATCAGTTCAAAGAAGTTCTTTCTGCTTCAATTATTTGTTTTCAGTGTACCTCGATCAGAGATCAAAACCAACATCTGGTATTAGAGCTAGGATGTCGAAACAAATGTCGTCGTCATGAAAAGTCGCTATAAAAGATGTGACGACTATGAAGAGTGAAAGGAGGAGAGTGTTACACTCTAGTACCCGTTACTCACGACGAGTAACTACGCTACATGGTCGATAAAAATGTGTGCTAATTTACAGGCACAAGGCATATGAGACGCTATCGAGCATAGTGATGACGTCGATTAGTGCGACGAGAAGATGACCCTTACTGCCATCTACCAAGTAGTCTAAGAGGACGCACTTCTCCAGTTAGCAGAGAAGGACTTGACAAAGGCAATATGGGAAACGCTGCAAATAATACATGTGGGTATGGAACGGATCAAGGAAGAAAAGGTGCAGACTTTGTAGAGTGAGTTTGAGGCTATCTGTATGAAGGACGGTGAGTCAATAGATGACTTTAACATGAAATTGACAATGATTGTTACCGACCTCCATTCGTTAGGAGACAAGGTAAAGGATATCTCCGTCATCAACAAGTTCCTTCAAATCGTTCTCACGAGATTCATGTAGATTGTCACCTCCATCAAGCAGTTCGGTCACCTCGAGAACATATCGGTTGAGGAATTCAAGAAAGTGGTTAAACCATGGGGCATGCCAAACTAGTATCATCATCGATCAGGATGGAATATTCTCTGGAACTTTTTGGATGAAACTATTTAATTGGGGTGAAATCTAAATATATCTTCTAGCTATCATTTCGAGACGAATGGGCAAACCGAAATGTTCAATAGTCAGCGACTGGAAAGACGCCCTTTGAAATAGTGTGTGGTCAACAATCACTCATGTCCGATGTTGTTGATCACCCGTATGTTCGGGAAGAGTTTGCAAGCCTACAACTTCACCAAAGAGTGTAGACAAACTTTCGAGGTCGCACAAACATCCTTTGGAAAAGCATCTCAATGAATGAAAAAGTGGGCAAATGTGAAATGCAAGCCACTAAAGTTCCAAGTGGGTGACCAAGTTCTGATCAAGCCGCAACCGAAACAATTTCAGTTACGAGGCAATAGGGATCAAAGGCTAGTGTGAAAATTCAAGGGACCAGTCGAGGTCACCGAGAAAGTTGGGAAGACTTCATATCGACTTTAATCATTCTGTTATCCATGTAAGTAATTTGAAACTGTATCACCTTGATAAGGAAGAGATGAAGCCAACGATCTGACACACTCGCCAGTCACTGATGAAGAGTTCCATTGAGAATGAAGTATAAGAAATCCTAACCAAGCGAACACGTCGCATCAGCATATCATGGCGAAATGCTCAAGAGTTTCTAGTAAAGTGGAAGGGACTACCTGACGCCGAGAGGAGTTGGGAACGCACTGAAGACCTAAAGTCTGTCCTAGGTCATATTGCTAAGTTTGAACGAAAATGGTTGACAAAGACGTCAACTAATTAAGTGAGGGAGGATGTCACGGTCATATTGTCTGTGGCCACACACCTGTGTATGTCAAACCCTTAGGTCTAGCTCATGTTGTATTACTTTGTCGCTTTCGTGTTATATTATTTTATTATTATATTTTTTTCGTGTGTATGACCATTCGGAGAAATCATGCCTACCCCTGTCAGATATGAAATGGCTCAAAATGTACTATGAGAAGATGCTATGTAAGTCATTGTTGTCCCTTACTTGCTTGCTAGCCTATAACGTTACTTTCTAACATTGCTTTCAACTCTCTTTCGAGAATATCTCTTCTCCTATTTTCTAAAATTTTCTTTTGAAAATGGGGCCGAAGGCTTGGGTATACGTGGTTCGTGTCAACGACGACACAATTTTGAATTGACTGTGGTGTCCCACATTGGTTGGAGAAGAGAACAAAACACCATTTATAAGAGTGTGGAAACTTTCTCTTAGCACACGGACAATATCTGCTAGCGGTGGGCCTCAGTCGTTACATTGATTGACTCACTCAAAAGTGAGAGTGATTACTACACAATCTCTTTAGAGAGTCCCAAAAAGTGTGATTGTGACACTATACAATACAATAGTACCAAAATTTACGGGTTTATTAGGACCCAAAAAAAAACACAAAATAGTTTTAAACATTTTAGTTATTTTTGAATAAACTACCTTAAATTTATTTAAGGATAAAATTAAAAATTTGCCATTTACTTAAAAAGGTGGATTCTATTAGAACTAAATCTCAAACCCATTAAATTCCCCATAAAATTTATTTCTTAATAACTTTTAAAAAGTAGATTCTAGAAGAACCAGATACTTAATTTGACTTTGAATATGAATAAATCAAATTTTAATTTGAATTTAAAAACATAAATTTAGCCATAAATAAATAAATAAATAAATAAATATTTGTATTAATAAAAGGAAAATGGATGGTACCTGATGCTGGTGGCTGTGGTAATATGATAGGCGACGCCATTAAACCATAAGTTTATCACTATCAGCACACTGCATATCCTCTCCCTCTTTTCTCCTGCATATTTATCATAATAAAAAATTCATTTTTAACTAATTAAACCTTAAATTAAATGAAATCATTAATGTTTAAAAATATTAAATAAAATTTAAATATATTCTTGTTGTAAATATCCCTTTAAAAATATTCATAAAGGTAAGAGTTTTAAAAAAATAAAAATTTTCTAAATTTTTAAAATAAAATAATAATAATAATTAATAATAAGAAAAAAGATTTAATTAATTTATAGAGAGAGAAAAGTGTGTACGAACCTAAATGCAACTTCACAGCTTCGGAGTACGATCGGACTCTCAAATGCCCAACTTCTGGATCTGGATATCGGTAACAGTCGGACATCATAAACGCCGATACAAAAGTCACCGCCGGGAAAACCACCGTCAACAGCACCGGTCCGGCGATCCATCCTAACTGTGCCACGCTCCACGGCAGAGATAACACGCCGGCGCCGATCACTCCGGTAATTATATGAGCAACCGCCGTCGTCAAACTCCCTAAAATTTCCCCCAAACACACACGCAACAACAAATCGCAAATCGATTAAATTCAAAGAAAAATTGATCGCATTGAAATTTGCACTTGGATCGCGTCTTACCAGTTCTCTCGATCGATTCCTCTGCCGCTTCGCCGATCAAGGTCGATCGGTCATCGTCTTCTTCGCCGTGCGCGCCGCCGTCGCCGCCGCCCATTTCTGTGTGGTCAAAACGGTTGTTCTTGCTGGTCTTGATCGGAGGATTTAATGTATGTCCGGACAATGGAGGAGGCGGAGGAGGAGAATTATCGGGAACACTGAAATTGATTGATTTATTTATTTATTCCTTTAATGATGCTTGAACAGTCATGTTGCCTGACTTTTTGCGTTTAAAAAAGTCAAAATTATTTTAATTAAATTTCTATTCATTAATAATATATTATAAATAATAGTCCTTAAATTTTAAATTTTTATTTATTTATTTGCTAATTATCTTCAAATAAAAAAAATTAATAGAATTTGTAATGTCAAATAATTAGCACAAGTTATTCCGTTCTACTTTTAAAATAAAATATTATTCCATCAAATGACATTTCAATAAAGATAAAATAAATATTTAAATTATATATAAATATATGATTTTTTTATGTTATTCTAAAGTCACTATCCGAGCAAAAACAATCATTTAAAAATTTATCATAAAAATATAATATATGTTTGTTCATTTTAATATAAATTAAGAATAATATAAGGAAAATAAAATATAAATGTTTTATACTAACTTATAGTCTACACGCAATTAAATGGAAATGGAAGGCAAACTATCTTATGCATGTGTCATGGTCTCCTAAGTTGCGATGCCACTGTTAGCCGTATAGGGGAGCATTGCCTTTATCGGGTAAATAAGAGGAGTAGATGACTTCAATATCGTAAGAAATACTCAGCTTACTATTGAGCCTAGATGCAAGCACGTACAATCATGAGTGGGACTTACCATTTCAGTGTGTATTCCCTTGAGCGACTATCCTAAACGGGTAATTGGATTTGTATTTACTATTCTTCATACGACTCATACGTGTAAGTATGGACCCACCAGTCGGTTCGTACACCTCCTAGGCCTCTTTCTTGGTTGGGCTAGCATTCTCTGAAGCTATTGTCAGACACTCGATAGGAATAGTGACCGCATTACGATAAACATAAAATTCTTGAGATTTTCTATTAATTTTGTTCACAATTACTCATGGACAATTTTAATAAGTTCTCGGAAGTAGTTATGAAAAATTGGTACGTAGATGAAATGAGTTACCATTTTTTTTATTAAGATTATTATTTTATTTTATTTTATTTTAGGGCTGTTACATTTTAATTTTAAAAATATATAATATAATTGTAATTAATGGTAATTAATTATAAATAAATAATATAAAGAAGTATATTTTAATATGATACCTTAATAATGAATATTAATAAGAAATTTGTAATTATGATAGGTTAATAATGGATTAAGTAAACGTTGCGTACTAATTTAATAATTAATTAATTTTGGAATAATGAATTTTTGTAATACTTTAAATTGACTAACAAAATATCTTAAATATATTGGTAGCTTTTATTTAATAATTCCGGTAAATAACTAAATAATTCATTATTATTCTAAATTATGTTAATATTTATATGTATTAAATAACGTGAACATCCAACAACTCATAACTTCCTTCAACTTTATTAACTATTATACCAACTTTTAAATATTTCAAGAAATTTTTTCAAGATTATTTTTTAATTAGGAGTGCTCGTGAATTAAGTCGGGTTGAGTCGAGTTGAGACTTTTTTAGACTCAACCCAATTGTTTTAAATTGTAAATTTTTTCACCCCAAACCAAACAACTCTCGTTAAATAATGAACTCAACCCAACTGTATATTTTTTTTAGGTTTGCAGTCATTTATTCAAATTTTTGCTTTGAATAAAAATAAAATATTAAATTGTAAAATATCTATTTATTTATTTTCAATCATTTAATTAAAATTTATAACTTAATTTTAATGTAGGTGATACGAAATAAGGTGCATATCGCAAAGACTTCATGGTGGATGACATGTTTCGATTTAAGGATGTTTTATTGTATTTTTTAAGCCATAGAGAATTGTTTTAAGATTATAAGTTAAAATTTTGACCATAGATTATTTTGAGAGTTTTATCTTCAAGACTATAAATAGTCATTCACGTTGTTGATTTAGTGGGAAGATTTTGAATATTTGCATATCATGTTGTTCTTTTGCATTTCTTCGATTTAAATTTGCATGCTAGAGTCATTCAAGCAGTATTGATCAAGCTATCTTGTGGAGTAATTCGAATCACGAATTTAGAAACAAATTTTATTTACTTTTGATCTTGATCATCAAAGTAATTTATTCCAAAACTTTTTCTTAAATTGATTTCTTGTCGTATTGTCGTTTTTTCTTTGAATTATTGGATAATTTAGATTTAAAAGTCTTGTTTTTCAACCAGATTGTTTGATCAAATCCCAAATCCCAAAAATTTTACAACAGAATGTTTTGAAAAGCTATTTCTAAATAATTAAAAATTATTTTCGAGGGTGTTACGTAAACTAACTCAATCCATAAAATTTTCATTTATTTAAATCTCATCCAATTTAAATAAGTTCAAAACTCTGATCAAAATTTTGAGTTATCACCGATGTTTTCTTGCCTTAAGTAATTGATTAGATGTTCTAAAAAAATAAACAACAAACTCACCATTCTTTTCGACAGCCTAATATACTTGAGAGCCAATTTTCACACTTACCAAATGCCTCCTCCTCCTCATCACACTTTCTTTGCCCATCACACTTTCTTTGCCTTGTCTGAAATGAAATGAAAGCATATATAGTAAGCTATCACGGATGTCTTTAGAGAGTTTTAGCCGAGAGTATTGAACTATCAACAATTAAGATGATAATCAATACTCTATCCCACGGAACATATGTGCTTAATTTAATTTGTTAGACTATATTGAACTTGCGATTGAGCCTAGTTGAACAACTTAGCAGCATGTAGATGACCTCATTGAGAGTCCCCACATGTTGCTTCAAAAACGAATTTTTGTTGTTAAGATTTCATATCTAGAGTATTCGCTATTTTTTACCTGATGAGATATTGTGCAATTACACAGGATTTACGACTCTCGTTTCGTCCCCCATCATACACCGTGGAGCACGAAGATTAATTTTCAGAAATCAATGTTAATCATAAAAATTCATAATCATCCCAAAAGAGTTTGACGGGTAATCATAAGGATAATCTAAGAAACTCTTAAGCTTGTGAAAACCTAGAGTTGTCACAACGAGGTTTGATGAAAAATCTTAATGATATTCCAAGGTCTATCTTTTGAGCACTTAAGCCCAAGGAAAAAAAAAAAAACCCTCAATAAGGCCAAATAGGCAATGTCTTTAAGGAGACTAACTAAAAATGACAAACAATTACTCTCAAATCGACCTCTATTAAGCCTACAACAAAAATCAAACCATGAATTCCAATTCAAGAGTGTCGACCGATATTATGTGTAAAATTAGACTAAGGAAAAATCAAAGTTAAAACAAAACTCAAGGCAAAACAAACAATAAAAGACCAATACAAGACAAAATTCGGGTCAGCAAAAAGAGATCAAGCCACCATAAGCTAAAGGAGAAGAGAAGAACAAAGGAGGCACTGCCCATGTGTCACGGTTGTACATTTTCAACCATGCAGCATTACGAGCACCATGCACACCCCCTTTCGAGCCAAGGACAAAGCAATGGTATTAACTACGATGAAAATTATATAGAACCGTTAGATTTCTACTTTTTTTCTTTCACTAGTTGGCTTTTTTACCCTTAAATTTTCAAAATCTTTTAGCAATTTAAAAGAGAAAAAAAATTATCCTCAATAGTGTTCTAAAACTTTTAAGGTTGCGGCATAAAAGTCGAAGGGAAGCATAGTTTGATGATTGATAGGTGTCTTTCTAAAGATGTCTTACCTATTTAGAACATAGCAGGTCAAAACAACTGATAGCAACTAATGGGGGAAAATAAATGCATTGAAAGAGAGTCCAAGAAATTTATACCTCAACTTCTTTGATATTCTTATTTGAAAATGTTTCTCCAAGCATTCATAAATGGAGGCTGCTTCACATTCACGAGGAACTAGATTTATATCTACCCTTGAAATGGAGGACTGAGCACACGCCATTACATGCCTACAATGGAGACATCTGAAAGATTTTTCTCCACTGCTGTGAACTGGGAAGATACCAACAGCATGAAATAGTTGTATAATTATGAAAGTTATTTAAATTACTAATTTAAGTCCAAATCAAACAGCCGTGTCGCACGTAAAATTTGCTATCATAAGCTTACATAGACTAGCAGAGCCGAACTTGGGGGACCTGGGATGAACAGAAGGCGAAACGGAATAAATCGGTAGGCCAGAAGATAACTAATACGACAAAGAATGTAAAGTAATATGAACACTTACAAATGTATATACAGCAGTATCATATTGAAGCTGACTGCAAGTCCTTTTGACTCCCACTTGTTGTCTCGACGAAGTAGTCCTGAAGAGGAATCATTGAAATCGAGCTCGCCTTCAGACTCTTTATGGCTTCAGCAGTTGCCAATGCTCCAGCAACCGTAGTTATTATCGGAACTTTATATGCAAGAGCCATTCTCCTCAAATGTCGTCCATCAATCTGATCGAGATCATCACCAGCACTAGTGATTACCATCAACTGAATTTGCCCGTTAGCAAGTATGTCACCAGCATGAGGCCGCCCCTCGTGCAGTTTCAGCACTCGCTCGACAGGAAGGCCTTGCAATTGAAGAACATGGGCAGTTCCAGAAGTTGCAGTGATGCTGAATCCAAGCTCTAAAAATGCCTTGGCTATTTTGGAAAGATGGGACTTTGTTAAGTCATTTAAACTGAGGAACAGACTTCCAGAAAGTGGCAACTTATTCCCTGCAGCAATTTGGGCTTTTGCAAATGCAATAGGAAACTGGTAATCAATACCCATAACCTCACCCGTGCTTCTCATCTCAGGCCCCAATAGGATATCGCTGCCTTGGAACTTCTCAAAAGGAAGGACGGCTTCCTTCACTGACATGTGTTTGGGGATCACCTCTTTCGTGAAGCCAAGCTCATATAGAGACTTCCCGGACATAACAAGGGAAGCATACTTAGCCAATGGGTGCCCAATGGCTTTAGAAACAAATGGGACCGTTCGGGAAGCACGTGGATTTGCCTCGAGTAAGAAAACCTCCCCTGCCAAAGTGATTGCATACTGACAGTTCATAAGCCCACAGACATTTAGTCTCTTTGCCAATTTTGTTGTCCAATTCCTAATAGTATCGAGGCAAGATGATGGAATCGACTTCGTTGGGAGTGAACAAGCAGAGTCACCCGAATGAACGCCAGCCAACTCGATATGCTCCATTATCCCACCAATTGTCACATTCCCATGTGAATCAGCTAATGCATCAATATCAATTTCAACAGCATCAGACAGATATTTGTCGACTAATACGGGACGTTCTGGATCAACTTCCACAGCATTTTCGAGATAAGTCACTAGTTTGTCATCATTGTACACAATTTCCATTGCTCGACCACCTAGAACGTAAGAAGGCCGGACAACAACTGGGTATCCTATATCCTTAGCAATGGAGAGAGCATCTGCTTCACTCTTGGCAATGCCCCCTCTTGGTTGTTCTATCTTTAACTCCTTAAGGATTGCATTGAACCTTTCTCTGTCTTCAGCCGCATCTATGGAATCTGGAGATGTACCCCAAATCCGAACATGTCCATCACCACTAGCACATTTAAGCTTGTTCTCATCTAAATACTTCTGTATAGGGAGAGCCAATTTCAATGGTGTTTGACCTCCAAATTGTACAATGATGCCATCCGGACGTTCCAAATCTATAATGTTATAAACATCTTCAACTGTCAAGGGTTCAAAGTACAACCGATCACTCGTATCATAATCCGTTGACACTGTTTCAGGATTCGAGTTCATCATGATTGTTTCATATCCCGCATCCTACAAAAACAAGTTAGGTGAATATTTAAAGGTACAAGCTAAGGTTAAGAATAACCATCCAACATTTTCTGTACATGATGTAACTATCATATGCAGCACAGTGCTCTAACAGTGGTAATCAAAATAACCTAATAATATAAGATTGCATCAGAATGGAATCAAGCCAATCTGTCATACTAGATTACTAATTATCAGTAATATTGAAAAATATTGCAATAAGATAAGCTTCCTAAACCGTACCAGTTAATTCATGGGCATGTTTCGATTATTTAAAATATGAAACACAAACCTGGAGAGCGAATGACGTGTGGCAGCAACAGTAGTCAAATTCAATACCCTGACCAATACGATTAGGGCCACCACCCAATATCAAAACCTTTTTCTTTTGAGTTGGAGCTGATTCACATTCAAAATCATAAGAAGAGTACATATAAGGAGTATTTGCCTCAAATTCTGCAGCACATGTATCCACCCGCTTGTAAGCTGGTACGACGCCCAAAGATATTCGCTTAGAGCGCACCTCGTTCTCAGTTGATTTAGTGGCAAATGCTATCTGCTTATCACTGAAACCTCTCCTTTTTACTTCATAGAAATCTTCCTTGGTCAGATTAGACAAGCTCTGAGCCAAGAGGTATTGCTCCACATCGATCAACTCCTTTAACTGAGTAAGGAACCATTTATCAATGTAACTCAACTCATGAATATCGTCTACTTTCATTCCCTTCTTCATTGCAGCATATATAGTATGAATGCGATCTGGATTAGGAACTCGGAGGCTGTATTTCAATTGTTCCCAGTCCCAATCAAGCTGTTTAATGGGTTCACAACCCCATCCAGAGTATCCACATTCCAATGATCTTACAGCTTTTTGAAATGA